ACACAAATAATTTACTAGAGTCTCTATGGATAATTTGTAGATATTTATTTTCTTGCCCAAATAAACAGAAATGGTATACATAAACATTTTAGAGAAATAAAATATCTGAAAATAAATCAGAATCACAATAATACTTGTCCTAAATATATAATGCAAACATAAAACCNATACATAAACATTTTAGAGAAATAAAATATCTGAAAATAAATCAGAATCACAATAATACTTGTCCTAAATATATAATGCAAACATAAAACCTGATGAACTCTGAGCTTTAAAATGTAAAATAAAAAAATTCCTGAGGCTGAAACCTTTTTTGTGGTGTTGATAGGAATGAAATTTGTGCAAAATCCACACTTGAAATGGTTGAAAGAATAAAGATGTCACTTAAGTTACCTTGAATTGGAGTCTCTATAAAACTTAATGGTAAATCTGATATCAAGTCGAAATATAATTTGAGACATCTCAAACGGGTATTTGGCCTAGTGTGGCGCTCTAACAAAGCTAGCAAGTTAAAGTCATGGCTTTTTCGAGGGGGGCCAGCCAGGCCAATCACAAACACCACCTAAAGACCCCATCCCAACCCCCCTTTGCCCACATAAAACAATGCTTAATCAGGTGGGGGTCAGGAGGACCCCACCGCCACACCAAACATGAGTGGGGTCATATGGACCCCATAAAGACAACGGGAGATGTTTAGTTTTAATAAAAAATGGTCGACATAACCATTGTTTAGGTTGTCCAAGACAACCTATTTTTGTTTTGGAATACCAGATCCTGGGTGTCTGGTGGACAACCAAGGAAAAAAAAGACCTAGATCAAAGTTTTCTGCTGCGGGTGTCGATCATTGTAAAACTGAAAGGGAGAAAAAAACTTGTTAAAGCCGTCTAAGGATTAAACTTATGGTTCTTTCACCCAATAGAGAGAACCACAGTCAAAGTTTTACCCAATCAACCCACCCAACAGAGCTGGGTGGGTTGTGCCKTCTGACAGCGAGTGCGCATTGCCTGATTTTTGTTTTTTTCTGTGGGTGAAGGTTTCACTTAACTCAAGTGAACACCTCCCGGTAAAGCTCACAGCATTTCCTGGACTACTTTCAACCGAGGATTACTTATTTTATGCATATTATATTTCTAAAAGCAGCTCGCAGCATTTCCACTGTTACACTGTTCATGCACAAATCAAAACTGTGACAGATCTGCTGCAGACTTTGGAGTACAACAGGGCTCTAGACTAGCATTTGCACTGGTTGCACCGATGCACCTAACATTTTTTCTTAGGTGCACCAGCACAAAAGTTAGGTACACCCAACTTTTCAACCACGTTGCATTTAACATCAGAGTTTTACGGGTTAATTGTACACTTTTCATTAAGGCAACATTAACTCAAAAATAATTAGTTAACAATCTAGTAAACATGAAGTTCTTTATTTGAACCAGAATTGTAGACATTTAACTTACTGAAAAGTATTTAAAGTGATTCTATAAAATTCTAAGTGCAAATGTTTAAGGGCTGAACGTCTTGTAAACATCTTAAACCTTTCATGGTTAAATTTCTTTTAGACACATGCCCCTCAGATGGACAACTTCTGTAATTACCTGTGGATCTTTGGCCTTGGATAAACCAGAATGATGAACAGAAAATAATGATTAATAACTAGGGGTGTAAGAAAATATCGATACACTGAAATATCGCGATATTTCA